TGTAAACTTTTCACTGACGTGCTTTCTCACCTCCCTGGTTAGTTTAAATCCTTATGGTTTTTATATCTTCTGTTGTTGCTTTTTGCTTGTTTGATTGATTTTTAGGATTATTTCTTTTTATTTTTATGTGCAGTGGTGTTTTGCCTCTGTGTATGTCTGTGTGAAGGTGTCAGATCTTGGAGTTACAGACAGTTGTGAGCTGTCATGTGGGTGCTGGGGTTTGAAGCTGGGTCCTCTAGAAGAGCAGTATGTTCTCTCAACCTCTGAGGCATCTCTGCAGCTCCTGCTGGTTGGTTTGTTGATGCTGTTATGAATAAATTTTTTACTCCACTTTGTGTGTATGGTGTATGCATATGTATGTGTACATGTGGGTGCAATTGCCTGTGCATGCACATGTGGAAACCAGAGGTCAACATCACGTGCCTCTCCGTAGCCCTCTGCTTTGTTGTTGTTGTTACTGGTTTGTTTGTTGGTTGGTTAGTTTGAGACAGTATCTCTCACTGACCTGGTGCCAACACAGAAGCTAGACTGGCTAACGAGTGAAGCCTCAGGATTGATGTGCTTGTCTCTATGGTTATGGATGTGTGCTGCCATGGCCAGCTTTCACCTGGGGCTAGGGATCTGAACTCAGGTCCTCACACTACATGGAAAGTGCTTCACTAACTGAGCCATCTACCCATTCCTCCTGACAGTTTTTGGAGGTTTGTTGTTTATTCAGGAAAATGTTTGCCTGCATGTATGTATGTGCATGACATTCATGCAGTGCCAGTGGAATTCAGAAGAGAGCATTGGATCCCTGGAACTATAGCCGGTATGAGCCAGCGTATGGGTGCTAGGAACTGAACCAGGCAAGAGCCCATAACTGACAAGCCATCTCTGTAGCTCCTTTAACAGTTTGGAGACAAGGTTTCATGTACCCAGGGTGACCTTGAAGTCATGATCCTCCTGCCTCCATCCCTCAAATGCTGAGATTCCGTGGGTGTGTCACCATGCCCAGCTTCTGTGATTTCTTTTTCAGCAAGTTTGTTATTAGGTTATAGAAAAGCTCCTAATTTTTTTTAAAGATTTTGTGTGTGTTAATGCCTGCCTGAGTTTATAGTCACCACATTCCTTCTGGTGCCTGCAGAGGCCAGACATCATCAGAGCCCCTGGAACTGCGGTCACAGTCAGTGTGAGCGGCCATGTTGGTGCTGGAACCTGAGCTTAGGTCTTCTGGCTTCAGTGCTCTCAATGGCTGCATCAGCTCTCCGGGCCCTCATGTTTGTCATGGCAATTGCCTATCCCACTGCTCTGCTGACAGAGTATATTGGGGTTCAGGTTTTGGTTGAGTTTTACCATTTGCAAACTGGGGTAACTCAGCTTCTTCCTTTCCTATCCGTTCTCACCTTACCTGCTTCTCTTACCTTACTGCAGTCTAGCTGAGAGTTCAAGCACTATACTGAACAAGATCGAAGAGTCCACACAGCCTGTCTCATTCATAATGTCAGAGGAAGTGCTTTCAGTTTTTCTCTATGTATATAATGTTGGCTATAGGTTTGTTGAATATAGCTTTTATTGTATTGAGGTATATTCCTTCTATTTCTAGTTTCTTTGGAGCTTTTATCATGAAGTGATCTGGAGCTTTGTTAGAGGCCTTATCTGCATCTTCAGAGATGTGATTTCTGACTTATCTATGTACTATAATATTACTGGTTTGCATATGATGACCCACTCCCAAATCTTTAGATTAAATTACACTTGATTATGATATATGATTTTTTATGTTGTTGAATTCACTTCGCAAGTATTTTACTGAGAATTTTCATTTCTGTCTTTATCAGGGAAATCGGTCTGTAGTTTCTCTTTTTACTTTGTCCTTTTCTGGTCTGGGTAGGAGTCTGATGCTGGCAAGCTCCATAGAATGTGTTTGATAATGTTCAGATCCTCTCTGCCTTGTGGACTGGTTTCAAGAGCTTGCTGTTTGTTCCGTTTTTAAAGTCTTTTGAAAGAAACTGTGAAGCTGTCTGCTCTGGGCTTTTCTGTCTGGGGAGGCGATTGCTGTTTCTATCTCATTTCTTATCAAAGCATTTGCTTTCTGTGTGTTCTTGAGGTAGGTTTGTAGGTCATGTATATCTAAAGGTTCATCCTTGTGTCTGAGAATTCCTGTAGAGTTTTTGAATACAGATTTTTGGAAGCATTCCCTAATGACCCTCTAGATTTCATTGGTATCTTTTGCAACTTTCCCTTTTTTATCTCTAATTTTATTAATTTGTCTTCTCTTTTTCGTCTAATTAGCTAAGTGTCTATGGATTGTACTTAATTAACTTTTTTTTTTTTTGAGACAGGTTTTCCCTGTGTAGCCCTGGCTGTCCTGGAACTCACTCTGTAGACCTGGCCTCGAACTCAGAAATCCTCCTGCCTCTGCCTCCCAAGTGGTGGGATTAAAGGCATGTGCCAACACCGCCCAGCCTTAACTTTTCAAATAAACAACTCTTTGTTTCATTGATTTTCAAAGCTTTCTATTTTACTATAGTTGTGTGTGTGTGTGATGTTTGTGTGTGCATACATATGTGCCAAGGTGCATTTGTGAAAGGTCAAAGGACCTTGGAGTCAGTATTGGAGTCAGTTCTTTCCTTCCACCTTTATGTGTGTTGCTAGAGTCTAGCTCAGAACAAGTCTGAGTGCTCAGGTGCTGACACCAGATCCACGTTTGCACGGATTCCTCTCTAGACGCTTGTTGGATCTCTTTCCCTGGTGTGCAGAGGGCAGACCAGAGAGGCATACTTTGTGAATGTCTGCTTCTGCTCAGTGTAGAGTAGAGGACACTCTCCCATCTTACCCTTGGTCTGCGAGGTGTCCTGTTGCCACATGGTGATTCCCTAGATGTTAATACCTTTCTCTCTCTTCTTCACTTGCTGAAATTCTTACTTTGGTAGTTCCAAACCTAACCTCTTTTTGACCCCCACCCTGCATGCGTGCACGTGTGTGTGTGTGTGTGTGTGTGTGTGTGTGTGCAACCTTGTGCACACATATAGGGACCAGAAGACCGTAGCTACAGGTTCTCTCACTAGACCTGGAGCCCATCATTTTTCAGCTAGCCTACCAACCAGCAAGCCCCAGCAATCTCCTGTGTCTACCCCCTTAACACTGTGTTTATAGGAATGCACAGCCATGCTTCTTATCTGAGTGCTAGGGTTCCAGGATCAGGTCCTCATGCTCACACACAAGCATTCTTACCCATACGCCATCTTTGTAGCACCCACCAGGTCTTCATGAAGTGTCTTCTGTCTTCATGGCCCCTGTGTGTTTTTTGTGCCCCAGCTTGCCTGTTTATATGCTAACTTTTTAATAGTCTTTTCCTCCTTTCTGTACCAACTCATGGGTATACTGCAGAAAGTTTTGCTGGGGATCAAACTGCCAAGATCTTGCGGTGGGGAGAAAAAGGTCAGGAAAGCAAGTTGTATATGGCAGTGAGCAGAGTTCTGTCTCTGAGCTGATACAGGCTGTTCTAGTTGACTAGATGCCCTTGCCTGACATAGCTGACCTTTGGGGCAGCTTAAGTGAGTTCTTTCAGATGTGGGAGGTTCCTGATGGTTAAAGGGAGGTGCTTGGTATACAGAAACCCCCTTTAGGCCTCGGTTTCTCCCTAACAATCCTTCTGTTTAGGACAGTGTCAACAGCACTGCCCCTGTGGCGGGGGATGCTTTGGACTCACACTTCCTGCCCCCATCCTTATTTCTGTTGTCGGTTTTTGGTAGTGCTGGGAGCTCATCCATGGCAGGCACCTACCTCTGCCTAGGAGAAGTGGGAGGGGTTAAAGGTGTTCGCCATCACTAATTTCATGTTTTGGTCATTTTGAGACAGGATCTTAGTAAACTGCCAGGGTTTGTGATATCCTGCCTCAGCCTTCTGACCTTCCGAGTGGCTGGGATTACTGATTTGTGTGTGCCATCAGGTGTAGCTTTAATGTTTCTCTTTGTTCTTTGTTTGTTTGTTTGTTTGTTTGTAGTTTGGGTGGAAGTTGTTTGAGCTTTTTGTTTTTTTGTTTTTTGTTTTTTTGTTTTTTTTTTTTGAGACAGGGTTTCTTTGTGTGGCATTGGCTGTCCTAGAATTAAGTCTGTAGACCAGGCTGGCCTCAAACTCACTATCTAGTGGACAGATAGTGGTCCCAGTTGTTACCTGATCAGGAAAGAAGATGTCAGAGTTGCCGAGGAGACCTATTCCTGAGCATTCTTTCTGCAGTACCCCCCCACACACACACATGCACACACAACTACAAGTGCTGGCTTTGCTGGGTTCCGAAGAGGGTCCTCAAAGCCTATGCCCACAGTGACACTTCCTCCAACAAGGTCTCTAGATCACTTTGCCCTAGAATACATGAGGACTGTGTTACTCTGTGCAGTACCTGCTCTGGGACAGCAGGCAACTTTGGAGGGATTTGTTCTTGCCTATAAAACGTTGACAACACTCCATAGCATGTTGACCTGGACACAGGAGCAGCCAGCCTGGTGCCCAGCCAAGAGCCAGCTCCTGCTAGCTCTCTCTGCCTCCATCTCCCATGGTCCATACTGAAGGAAATGTCTCCTGACACAAAGGCACAGGCAGGAGGACTGATAGAGCTAAGAGGAAGTCTTCAAGTAGATGTCAGGGCCCAGGTAAGCTGGCCATGCTGGAGGATGCCTGTGCTTAGTGAATGTAAGCGTGGCCAGGGGCAGGCTGCATGCAAGCAAGCTGTGGGGCCTTCTCTGCCCTGCGGGCTGGTCTCACATTGGCTCACTCCCTTATCCAGACCTCTTCTACCTCTCTACGTCACCAGCTGAAGTTGTCTGGTTGTCTGCTGGGATACCCCATAATGTGACATTGTGATGATAGCCTTGTAAATGTCTTTCTTTCCTGTGAGACTGCTGCCAGGTGCAGAACCAGCAAGGAGCCCATGCCAGCCTTGCCCCTTCTGCTCATGACTGCCGCTCCACCCAGCTCCCTAAACTTCCTTCTCTGAGGACTGCCCCTTCCTATTCCAGCTTGCTGGGGTCACTTTGGTCAGCGTCCATTCTAGCCCCAATGACCAGATGTTGTGGGCCCTGGATAGCAGATGGAATGTGCACGTGCGAACTGGAATCACCGAGGAGATGCCCGTGGGGACAGACTGGGAGCACGTGCCAGGTAGGAACAATCTAACGGCTACCCTAGTATCCCCCACAGCCACGTAAGACAAGAACTGAAGTCAGTCTAACTTGAGGTCTCCCAGCTCCACTGTCTGTAAAACAGGCTGTCACCCACGCAGTGGCCATATAGAGGTCCTGGGTACTCGGCTGGGTCTGAGATGTTCTGAAGCAGAAGCCAGGTAAAGACCCGAAGGGCATTCCTTGCTGAGAGAACCCAGGCCAGCCTACTGTGGGAATGTGGGGAATACAGCTTTCTCAGTCCCCCAACTCCTATGTGGCTGGGCCAGCCTCCTGGGCACTCTCTGCCTTGGTGCCCAGCACTGTACAGTGTCACCACAAGCCCTGATGGCCAACAGTGTCTGGAGAGAGCAGCACTGGGAATGGTGCTCTAGATGTATGTTCCAGAGGTGAGCTGATACCAAGTTTGCCCACAGGATTGCAGGCCTGCCAGTTGGCACTGAGCACCAGAACTGTGTGGGCCCGCTGTCCAAATGGTGACCTTGCCCGCCGCTATGGTATCACAGACAAAAACCCTGCTGGAGACTACTGGAAGAAAATTCCCGGAAGTGTGTCCTGTGTCACAGGTAGGTGCTTGGGCATGGTAGACTTGGTATCTCCTGGGGGAAGGTGGAGGGCGGGTGAGGGCGGGTGAGGGGATGTGAAGAGGCCGCTCCAGCTCAGCTCCACATCCCACAGCCAGAGCCAAGGACAAGGCCCAGCTGTGGAGTGCTCCAGACACCGGTTCTGCAGGAACCCGAGCTTAGTTCCACAGCTGGGAGCAAACTGCCTGCACAGCTACACACACTTATAATCCAAACACCGGAAAGGCTGAGGAGGTAGATTGTGAGTTCTAGGCTAACCTGGGGTACATAGTGAGTTCCAAGCCAATCTGGGCTATAGTGTGAGACTCTTGTCTCCAAAAAAAAAAAAAAAATCCTAGGAAATTACACTGAGTGAAGACAGCACAGGCTGGAGAGATGAATGGCCACTCCTCCTCATCCCTGAGCTGTAACATCATCACGGCCTGACCAGACCCAGGGCTGACCACCTCCCCGTCCCTTGTCTCAGACAATGCGGTTTATAAGACTGACTGACTGTCATCTTTACAGTGACCTCATCAGACGAGCTATGGGCGGTGGGCTCCTCTGGCTGTCTCCTTCAGCGGCTGACAAAGACCTTCAGCCACTCACACAACCCTCAGAACAGCCAGGCAGCCACCTCCCACCCTGAGGAGCTGGAGGACGAGTGGGAGGTCATCTGAAGCCAGGCAGCCAGTGATGGAGGAAGCCGGGTTCTGTGATGGAGGCCGCTGTCTCCCGGTGGCTCACGGACGGACATGCCTCATCCACGAGGCTGGACACCTCACACTTGCTTTCATCTGTATTTGTTTTGGTCTCATTACAGAACTCACAGCCTTAGCCTTGTGCTTGGAGCTGTTGCTGTAGGAGCAGCACCTTTGACATCTTGCCAAGGTCACCTCCAAGTGGGAACAGCGGCTGCTGCTCAGTTGCATGCACTAGTTACCTGTGCACCACAGTAAATTCTTATCAGCAACTAAGGGTCCTGGTGTGTGAGCCAAGAGGGACACCGCCAGAGGCAGGTGACTCAAAGCCAGGAAGAGTTGGGCACATGTCCATTCCAGAACCCCAGACCAGATGGCCGGCAGGTCAGAGCTTGCAGCCACTGGATGTGTTTGGTGATAGTGTTGACTTTATCATAGGGGTCTTCTCTCCTAGAGATTCAGACCACAGTGCATCCACACCGGGCATTCAAGGTGGGAAAGTAGCCGTGATGGGGCTTTCATCAACATGCACACACCCTAGTCTCCTCATGTTGCCCGCACTCAGGGTAGCTGCCCACCCCCTGCCCACCTCAGCCAACACAACAGCCAATGGGTGCAGACAGAACACAGATGCCCACATAGCCCAGCACAGGGGTGCTGAGCTAACCTAGAGACATCTTTGGAATGACATTTGACTAGTATGCTGGTAGGCATTCTAAAGCCAGGCTCTTCCTCAAAAGATGGATCTAGTAATTGCCTTTTTGTTTGTTATGTTACAAACCTGAATAAGATACCTCACTTAAAATCAAGTCTCACAAATTCAGGAGATAAATGTATCTTCTGAAAACAGTGAAGGTCTTTTGTTCCTTCAAGAGGTTTATCCTAAGCCCACCTTGTCTTGGCTCTAGCTTTGCAGAGGTGGTCATTCCCTATCATGTCCTCAACCCAAGAGCAGCCAGTGTCTGCAGTGGGTCTAGCCTTGACTCCCCAGGAGCTGGTGGGATACAGTGCCTCTGCTCACGGTTGCCGTGTCCCATCACAGTGGTCGGGACAGAGCATCTAAGCTTCAAGGGCAGGCTACCCACCGTGCGTCCTTCCCTGAGCCTGCTGTCCACCCTGCTTACCAGGTCCCTGCCACTGCCCCAGACTGGCTGCTTTTTTTTCAGTCCGCCTGGTCCAGGCAGTTACTTGATGTCTGTTTTCTACTAAGCATGTGTCAGGGCCCCAGCAGTAATGAGGCAGAGGCTTCCGGGTCTCGGCAGCGATGAGCTGCTGGCATCCTTGACTCTACTTTGTTTTATAAACTCCTTTGTAAGAGTTCGGTGACAGCAGAGGCAGCCCTGAGTGGCCTGATCCTCTTCTGTGAATGGTGTGCCTTGCCTGGCTCCTCCCAATGACAGCATTCCCTAAGCCCATGGGACAGTAGTGCAATTAAACCCGAGTTAAGTGGACACTTGTGGACTAGTTTTAGCTTCAGTGCTTTGGACGACTTTCTTTTTGGTTTTAAATTTTAGTTGTGCTTTGAGATCATGCAAAATATTACTTTTTCCAACTGTTGAGTCAAATGAGTGAGCTGGGAGGCCTGCAGGAAGCCCAGCACGCTGCAGCAGAGCGCCACTGCCTGGGTGGTTCGAAGCAGCTCGTGCAGACGGTACAGTGGGCAGTGCCCTTCCACAGCAACACACACCCTCTGACAGTTCTAGAAAGAATGCCCCAAAGAAGGCAGAATGAAGGGCAGTCCCAAGACATTCTCTTTTGTTGTTGTTTTCAGTCGGTCTTTTTTTTGTTTTGTTTTGTTTTGTTGTTGTTGTTGTTTTGAGACAGGGTTTCTCTGTATAGCCCTGGCTGTCCTGGAACTCACTCTGTAGACCAGGCTGGCCTCGAACTCAGAAATCCTCCTGCCTCTGCCTCCCAAGTGCTGAGATTAAAGGCGTGCACCACCACCGCCCGGCGTTTTGAGTCAGTCTTATGTAGCCCAAGTTGGCCTCCAGTTCACCATGTAGCTAGCCAAGGATGGCCTTTGCTGATCTTCCTGTCTCCAACTTTTAATTTCTGGGATTATGGGTGTATACCACCATGTCCTGCTAAAGACATCAGATTCCATGCAAAGAAGTCTATGAGTATAGTTCTTTCAGAATCCCTATTGGAATATTTCTCTTGGAGAGACAGAGGAATTCTTAAAATCTTGACAGTGCCACAGATATCTCATGTTACTGCTCAGGTCTCTTAGCTTCATGTCCCTTCTCTAGAGCCCAGGAAGGAGAATACGGTTAGTCTGTAGGCCTGAGAGGCTAGGCACAGTCACACAGTGAACATGCACTAGGACCCAGCTTGGCAAATCTGCTGACCTGTGCTGATGCCTAAACTCCTGCAGTTGTTCCAGCAAGGGCCAGCATGCCAGGTATGGCCCAGACCATGGCAGGGCCTTCACCCAGAGCAGCCAGGCAGCACCCAGTAGTCAGTCTCACAGCATTCCACAGGCATCGCAGGGGAGGGGGCCAACAGCTGCTGTGCCCAGTCTCCACTCAGCACAGAGAACCTGCCCTTATACCCTCTAAACTCATATGAGACAGCCACAGGAAACCTATATGGAGGTTTTACTTACTCAAAATGTAGAGCCTGTACGTTAGAAATCCTGTGTGGGGCTGGGATGTGGCTTAGCAACAGAAGACATCAAAGTCCCTACCTACATGGACTCAGAGTGCCTGCAATCCCAGCACTCAGGAAGCTGAGGCAGGATTGTCACAAGTTCCAGACCAGTCTGGACCACAAGATCCTGTCTCCAAAAATCCTGAATTTAAGAGTAAACAAACTGAAAAGGAGTCATGATTGCCACGAGACGTTGGCATCCATGCTGAACTTGTCCAAACCAGTAGGAACAAACACAACTCAAAGATGGACAAAGGGGGTGAAGAGGCAACTCACAGAAACATCTTCCAGTGGGAGACCCCAAAGGCACAGCCCTCCGAGAAAGCCTCTGATGGGCCCTCAGTCCAAAAGCCTAACACTAAAAATGCCATCTCTAAAAATTGGTCAAAAAGGAAACAAGAGCTTCGTATCTAGCCCTTGACTAGCATGCAGTCCCTGGCTTCAGTTCCCAGGATGGCAACAAATACAACTAAACAGAGGGAGGGTGCCACTGCCCTTGAGCTTGAACACATGCCTGTAATGCCCCAGGATGTATGTCAGCAGAGTGTACTGTGGGGTCCCACAGGTGATCTTAGGGTGGTGTGAAATTCTTCTGACCTGTCAGTACAGTACGGTTTACAGAAAGAGAACACTGCATGGGTGGGGCGCTGAGTGTGCTTCACCCTTTAGGAGGGGCAGAGACAGACTAGTTCTCACTTGGGACAAACAGCTGGCCAGTGATTGTTTCCAAGCCTGTGTCTTTTTTACCCTTTGAATGTTGAGCCATGTAAATGTATTATTTATTTCAAAACTAAATAAAATGTACATGTAGAAACTCAGTTCTCGTAATTTTGCAGTACTAACAGTATTCAAGTCAAATCACAAAATCAACACCAAAAGCATTTAAAAAATCCTCTTCATAAAATAATTGGAAGTGCTTATACCATGTGCATTGGTGTTTTGCCTACATGTGTATCCATGAGAGTGCCAAGTCCTTTGGAACTGGAGATAAACAGTGGTGAGCTGGCACGTGGGTGCTGGGAATTGAACCTGGGTCCTCTGGAAGAGCAGCCAGTGCTCTTAATCACTAAGCCATTTCTCCAGTCCCTACTACGGTGGTCTTTAAAAATACTGACTCTTGCCGGGCAGTGGTGGCGCACACCTTTAATCCCAGCACTTGGGAGGCAGAGGCAGGTGGATTTCTGAGTTCGAGGCCAGCCTGGTCTATAGAGTGAGTTCCAGGACAGCCAGGGCTATACAGAGAAACTCTTGTCTCGAAAAACCAAAAACAAAAAAAAAGAACATGCAGGCAGCCAGCAGCTCACTGATGAGCAGTGTGACCCGAGCCTCCCCTGTAGGACTGGACTTCTCCCCACAGCCCCAGTGTTCCATGCTGGACTCTGTTTATTCATTTGTATGTTTATATGCATGTGTGTGGGTATGCATGCCATAGCACAAGTGTGGAGGTAAGAGAACAGCTTTGTCCTTTTCTTGCCTCTTTACATGGGTTCCAGGGATTGAACTCAGGACTCCGGGCTTAGGTGGCAAGCACCTTTACTTACTGAGCCATCTTGCCAGCCCTATGCTTTAGAAAAAAATTAAATGTCTAGATAGCAGTCAGTGGCGGAGGGAGCTTTACACTTCTCCCTGTGCTGGGACAACAGTCACACCCATATAGACATTAGTCATAACTCATAGAGCTACAAATTGCTGCCTTTATGTTTTATCATGTAGACGTCATCTCAGGCTTTTATAGTCAGCCAGTCATCAAGGAGGGTGTGGAGGGACACCAGTATGAATTACTGATGTTTGCTTTATTGAGACAGGGACAGGAGTAGCCTAGAACTCACGTAACCTAGGCTAACCTTGATAAATTGTTTTGAGACAGCCCTACATAGCCCAAGCTGACTTAAAGCTGACTACATAGCCAATGAGGTCATTGTTTGCCTCTACCTCATGAGTGCTGGGATTAGAGGTGTACATTACCACGGCCAGTTTTATTTGGTCCTGTTGATCAAAACCATGGCTTTTTAGCTGCTAGGCCAGCACTCAATCCTGTGAACTATATTCTGAGCTCTGCATTAACCTTTTTCCTAAGATTTCATGAGTGTTTTGCCTACAATGTGGTCAGAAGAGGGTATCAGATCCCCTGGAAATGGAGTTATAAACTGTTTTAAGCTACCGTGAGGGTGCTGGGAGTTAAGTCTACGTCTGGAAGAGCAGCCAGTGCTCTAAGCAGTGAGCCATGTCTCCAGCGCCTGACCGGGATCTCTTGACCCTCCGCTGTGTTAAAATCCCAGTACCACTGCAGTCACTGGAAACCAGCCTTGAAGAGCCGGTGTCCTTCCTGCCTCCTTCCTTGTCTGGATAGGATATGAGGTAATGTATAGAACTGCCGTCCACTGAGGCTAGTAGAGAAATGAAGCTGAGGTTGAAACAGATGGAGTCCATGTGGACAGCAGACAGAGGAAGGGAGCACCAGCAGGCTACCCCACCAGTGCAGACTGACCTCCCACGACAGGTGAGGCCCTCAGGAATGAGTCTCAGTGGCTCAGTTCACCGTCTTCCCTAATAGGTGTCAGGGTCCAGAATTCTGGCTCCTAAACTGGAGTACAGTACAGATCTCCTGGGGACACATACATTTGACGGGGACAAGTGAAGAACTAACCAAGAGAACACAGCTTGCTTGTATGTTTTGGAGACACCAAGGTCACCTACCACTGGCTGATAGTGGATGCCATGCCGGCACAGAGCCTGGCAAGCTCTAGTCAGTCCTGCAAGCTCATGGCCAGGGTGGTAATGTGTCAGGTGGTACCACAGTCCTTCCTGGGGCTGGAGAGCCGAGGGGAAAGATAAGACACACTGAGGCCACCCACCTTCCTTCAGGAACAGTCATCCCAACGATAAGTGAGGCCTTGTTTATCAGCCCGTACCACCTTTCCAGGCCCTCTTGCTTTCTGAAGTGCAGGCCTGCACTAGGCATCCCATGACAATAAACAGCTGTGGCAGGAATCAGGCCTTCCTCTGAGGTAGTTGGCAAGGATTCTCTACCCCTCTGGGCCTGCCTTCTTTCACCTCCCACATCTATGCCCTTGGTGAGTCTGCCTTTGCACAGAGGCCTGGGGGCCACTCAGCAGTGAAACAATCCGCATCCATGGTGACTAACCACACTTATGTGCTTGTCACCATGAGCCAAGCCACTCCTCTTGGGCTTGGAGTTCCCCGTGTACCTTTCTTAGGCTAGGTCCTTCCTCTATGGTGCCATTACCTCCCACAAAGCCTCTCTGATGACCACAGGGCCTACATAGCACACTGACTCTCCTCCAGACCAAGCAGCTCTGGGGAGGTGGCTAGGAAGGCAGCAGTCTATCTACCTAAAGGGGACAGAGAAGCACCCAGCTCGGCACCAGCAGAGCCCAAAGGGCAATGATCCAGAGACAGGTGAGGGGAAGCCAAGGTTCCCAAAAGGCTCCCTAGGAGCTACAGCAAACCATTGGTCATGTCCTACAAATAAGGAAATGGCACCTCCAATGGCATCTGGACCTGGGACCTCCTAGAAGCCCAAGGGGACTGATCATGAATGAGCCAAACTTGGGGCAGAGGAAGACACTAACCCCCATCACCCACAACTACCAGGACTCAGAGAAGGTCCTCAGGCAGAGGGAAGCAGTCTAGATGTAAGATCTATACCACCAAGTAACCTCTCATTTTCAGGCCTGGGAAACGGCCTAACGTCCCTTGATGATAACACGGACCCAGGACAGAGGTAGCAAAATCTAGGGCCCTTCCTGTTCTCCAGACTTTCCCTCCTGTGGCCCAGCACCCTGGACAGTCCCACCCCCAGGCATGCTGCACTCAGCAGCAGGTGCCCCTAGTCAGGCTGGCCGCTTCAGCAGACTGCTAGCCTCTGCTCCTGGCAGCACATCATGGCCTACAAGCCTGTGCCACAAAGGTTGAATTTCACTGCTTAGCAAAATCCCTGGATAGGGAAGGGCCCTCCCCAGTCTCGAAGTTCCTTAGGGTGCGAACCCAGCTTTGCAGCCAAGGTCCCTTTATCCTGAAGGATGATTGTGCATTCATTAACAAGCCTCCAGTCTTCCTAAGTGTCCGGCAGAAAGCAGCTCTCCAGGATGGGCAAGAAGCCTACCCAGGGTGATAACAGCCCTATAAGCAGCACCTAACATCCATTATGAGAAGGGAAGCCCATCCCTGGGGCTGGGCAGGGGGAACTGGAAGGCACACCTGGTTCTGATGAGGACACATGATGCAGGGGGCCCAAAGCCTGTGGTGAAGCAGGTGCGGAAGACCAGGGCTAGTACCTGCCAGTCCTGACTGAGGGCAGAACGGCCAATTCCAGGCCTGGGTGGAGGAGCAATGACTCTGAGATGAGAAGACAGCCAGCCTGGCTCCCACGCAACCCCTGCTATAGCTGCCTGCTCAACTCTGCTTGTCCTCCTGGACACAGGATCAAGTCCAACTTATGGGCCATTTCTGAGGCTGACAGCACAGGAGAGGGCCAGTCAGAACCACACAAGCTTGTCCCCTTGGCCTCAGCACATTCTGTCCTCTTGCTCAGTCATTAGAGTCCCCGCCCTCTGTTCCTGTTCCTCACCTGCTTGGCTCAGCTGTCAAACACACACACACACACTCCCCGGGACTCTAAGTCCTCACCCTTATCCTTGGCTAAGCAGGCAGCTCTCACACGTGAGCAACCTGGCAGCCCTACCCCAAATGCATGCGACAGACCAGGCAGGTTCCTCGGTACAGTCAGAAATCCGTATATGTAAAGTGCTAGTACAATGCTCTCAAAAATACTTCTGTCCCCAAATACTGCGTCAGGGTCCCCTGAGTCTAGCCCTTGCCCGTGAGGTCCAAGGGCTGCAAAAAGGGTGGCAGAGGCAGCTCATCCAAGGCCTCCGGGAAGCGACCAGGTGAGATAGTGGTGACCAGCACCTGCATGGCACGGACAAAGAGGGAGGGTGGCGCCAGCCCTGCTAGCCACTGGAACTTGTCCTCACCCAGCAACCTCTGCCAGCGTAGCCGGTCTCCTAGCAGTTCACATCGAGCTGAACCCACGACGCCGCCCCCCGGGGTGTAAAGTGCTAGCAGGTCAAGCAGCAGCAGGCGACGCTGACACACCTCCCGGGACGAAGTGGCGTTGGCGGCGACGTTGACATTGACGGTGGCAGAGGCGGCCTCAGCAGCAGTAGGGGCTGAGCTGGCGTCCTGGTTCAGTTGGCGAAGCAGCAGCTCCAACGGTGTAAAGCCACTGCCGTCTCGAAGGCCCGGAGAAGCTCCGTGGCCAAGCAGCAGAAAGAGGCACTCAGGACGCGCGAGCTCACAGGCCACGTGCAGCGACGTGCCACCGCCTTCTACACGGCTGCAGCCACGCCGGTCCAGGAGGCGCACACGCTCTTCCACTGGGAAGTCCTGCACGGTTCGCAGGATGCGGCGCAGGATGCCCACGCGGTTGTAGCGCACGGCCAGCGCCACGTGCGGTCCCGGCGCGGTGCAGCAGCGGAAACCCGCGCTAGGTGGGGCGAGCGCACGCCGCGGGAAGGTAGCCAGCAGGTAGTGAGCATAGGCTTGGTGGTCGTGCACGAGCGCGTAGAGCAGGGCCTCCGATGGCGAATATGCAGCAGGGCGCCCGCGCTCGTCCCAGTGGAAGGCTTCGCTGGCACGCATGTCCTCGAGTAGCCACACTGGTAACAGATCTCGCACTGCCAGGTAGAAGGCGAAGGATGACTTCCGGCACTGCTTCTGCACGCGCAAGCGAGCTGCGCCCGGACCCTCGGGCCCTCCATTCGCGCTGCGTCCAGGCCTGGTGTCCCACGGCATGCTGGCTTCCGAGAGTCTCCTGGCTTCAAAGCATGGGTCGCACCACCCAGACCAACCTGTGAGACAAAGTGGGGTCAAGTGAATTGACTCTGCCAGTCAGTGCCCCCAGCTCTAATCTCTCTGAGGCCCAGAACCATGCTTGAATTTCTGCACCTGCACTCCCTCTCTCGCTTGTGCTAGAGAAGGCTGGATCTGCTGGGGCCTTCCGTCTGCCAACCCTCTGCAGCCCTGGAACCTTCAAAGAGAGCTCCTTTCACACCTGAGCCAGGACCTTCCAACTGCAAATAAAGAGGAACCCATCGGACACTCCAGAAGACTCAGGCTCACAGCACAAACTGAGCCCGAAGCATCCTCGCAGCCCCAAATTCAGCCCCAACTCCACTTCTACCCTGACCCCGACAGAGAGTACTCAGGCATCTTTCCAGGAGGGTCATGGACATAACTCACTTAGACTTAGCCGGTTCCTGCAGGCTGCCCTGGGTTCTATCGATGCGGGAATTCACTCTAACACACCAATCCCCAGCTCCTCATCAATAAGAAAGTGGTGGCCCAGGGTCGGCCCAACTCCCGAGTTGGGGAGTGACTGGCTCTTTTATCCGCAAACAATTTTGCTGCCCATCAGGAATGAGCTCCTGGGAGCAGGGAAAAGGTGAAGTCAATGGAGGGATTGGAGTGTACACCAACTGCAGTCCACTCCAAGTCCATCCACCTGAGGCCGATACTGCCATCCCATTTTTCAACCCGGGACAAGCTAGTCCAAGGTCAATCACCAAGTCAGGATGAACCAGGACAAGAGCCTAGGTCTCCTGCATTCTGAGGCCCGGTCCAGACACTGCAGACTCCAGTTTAAACCCTACCTCAACCTTGGGCACCAAGCCTCAACCTGAGCCCTGGCCGTTCACCCTTGGCCTCCCTGCCCAAGAGCCCTACCTGCCTCCAGCAAGGGTAAGCTCTAGGTTACAAGGGACCTGGGACAGCTAGAGGGCCTCGTCCAGAGTCCTGACCATTAGCGGTAACTGGGTTACAAAGGTGGGCACTGTGGTGTGGGCTGCGGCAGCCGCCCCTCTGGAGGGATTAGCATGTCTGCAGCTCCTTCTCGAGCCTGCGCCCCCTGCGCCCCAGGTGCACTGTGTGGGCACGCGTGGGGTGCCGGGCGGGTTACGTAAAGTTCGGTCGCCCCACGTCACTGGGCAGAGTCACGGCCGCAGCTCTGTGACTGGAGCTTGGGCCGCCGGCCAGATCCTCCCTGACCCCTCCCGGGGCGCGCCCAAGTGTCTGCGGGCCGGTGGCCAGGCTCAGGGGCTGCACCTGCGCACGGGGGGCGCTCGGGGCAGGCGACTCACCAAGCCGCGCGATCCTGTCCCTGCGGCGGCCCGGAGCGCGCGCCGTCCATGCACGGGCGAGCAGACCGAGATCCCACGACGCCGGGAGCGGAAGCAACCGCCGCCGCCTGCGCCCGCCGCACTCTGAGCCGCCGCGACCCGGTCTCCGGGTGCCGGCGCCGGTGCCGCCAAGGGGCGGGCGGCGGGCGGCGCAGTGCGGCCGGGGCCGGGCAGGACCGCGGGCCGGGCCGCCGTCACCATTGGTTCACGCCGCCGGCCCCCGCCGCTACCCATTGGTCGCCTCGCTGCACCATTGTTGCGTCATGGGCCAGGGGGCGGGACTCTCGGCGAGACCCGCGGAAAACTTCGGAGAAACTTGCGGGCCCGGGATGGGGGGGAGTGAGAGAAGCCGGGGACGGGGCGGAGCTTGGAGGGCGGGGCATGACGGAGGCGGGGCGAGTCCGGGCAGCCTCCTGTGCGCTGCAAGGACTACACACAAGAATAGGCTCCCTGGCTCCTGGCTGGAGCAAGAGTCCTGTTCTGGGCCTCCCTTGCTCTGACCCTCAGTGACCTTGGGGAAACAATCAGCTGTTATCCCATCTGCATGTGGGAAGGCCTAGAATAGGACTGAGTCCTTAAAGGTTTGCACCTTGCTCTGCCCTGCCAGCGCCCTGGCATGGCTAGCCTCCGTTCCAACCTCATAAGAGAGGCATGGATGGGTGCGTGGATAAGAGCTGTTTATGGCGCCTATTGTGTCTTCACTCTGACTTCATCAACACAGGAAAAAAAAAAAGTAAAGGGGCAGAATTATGAGCCCTGCTAAGACATAGATAGTTATTTAAGGCAATTATGATATGGCACATGCCTTTAATCCCAGCACTCAAGAGGCAGAGCCAGGTGGATCTCTGAAGACCAGCCTGGTCTACAAAGTGAGTTCCAGGACAGCTGGAACTTCAGAGAAACCCTGTCTCGAAGCATACACACAGCCGGGCAGTGGTGGCCCACACCTTTAATCCCAGGAGGCAGAGGCAGGCGAATTTCTGAGTTCCAGGCCAGCCTGGTCTACAGAGTGAGTTCCAGGACAGCCAGGGCTACACAGAGAAACCCTGTCTCGAAAAACAAAACAACACACACACACACAGACAGTAGGTTGTCCCAAGAAAGGTACACTCTGCGGAAAGCTGGCATTTCCGGCTGTTTCTCACTCAGTAGGAACTGGGGACTCCATCTAGCCTTCCCACAGAGGACCCTAGAGCTTAAGGGAGCTTGAGGTCCTGACTTCGAGGGTACGGGAGTGCTAAGTCCATTCCAAATGCACTACTTAATACGGCCACGTCTGAGCCTTGGAACTCTCACTTCACCTTATCAGAGGCAAGGATCCCCTTGGTGAAATAGTTCCAAACTATTCACAGGCATGGCTAGCTTCTTTTCCCAGAATGCCCTTAAAAGATCAGTTAGAGCCAAGGGTTCATGTAGCCTCCATCCAGGCCCTTCCTCCTTCCTCTGTCGAGCAGACAACCAGTGTCTTCAAACCACCCTCTCCTACTCTACCTCAGAGCAAATGTGTACACAGCCATCAACCCTCTCGGCTCCTTTGTGCCAGCAGGGGCTAAGGGACTTTAGGCTGGAGTCTCCCTGGGTCCTTTGAGCAGACTCAAGCAGGTATATGTCCCCCCCACCCACCCCACACACACACATACACACATGGAGACTTTCTGATTAGTCAGGATTCTCTAGAGTCACAGAATTTATGGAATGTCTCTATATATTAAGGGAATTTATTGTGATGACTTAGTCTAGTCCAACTAACCCAGCAGTGGGCAGCTGTGAATGGGAAGTCCAAGAATCTAGTAGTTGCGCAGCCTCACTGGGCTAGTTGTTTCAGCTAGTTGAAGTGGAAACTTAAGGATTCTTTGGTAAGTCAGTTGTGTTGGATGGTGTTTTGCTGGGGCAAACACGTGAAGGAGTGTTTTCCTGAAGTGGATATACATGTGAAAGACTAAGGCAGACTCGTGAAGGAACGTTTCACTGAAGCAGACACAGGAGAGAGGATGTTCTGCTAAAGCAAGCACGTGAAAGGACACGTGATGAAGGATTCTTTGCTAAGGACACGTGTGTATTGGTCTGCCTTACATTGCGTAGTTGAGCTGCATTTGTCGGGACTCCATAGAGAAACAAACAAACAAAACCTTCTGGTGATGTGCTGCAGTTTGTTGCCTCTTCTGTGAAGTTCGGCTGATTGGCAGAGTAATGTCAGCTAAGACAGACACACGTGCTGAGGCAAGACCTGTGAGGACATGTGATGTTTAGAGAGAGTGTAAGAGCAGTGACGGGGCTGAGCTAGGTTTGCCTATAGAGCTAGCTGTGCAACGCTTGTGGGTCTCCAGTCTTCTCTGATCTTTGCTTCCCTGAGAGAGACACAGCAGAGAACTTCTCCTAGAATTCTTCCTGGTCCCTCCTGCTGACTTGAGCTGAGGCTGAGGCCTAGCTGTCTCTATTAGGTAGTACTACTGCTGCTGATTCATGTTTGATAGCCCAACTCTGCCGAACTGGACTGCTGGTGTATCCTCAAAGTCTTTGCGAGTGGATCGAGCTGCCACCGCTAACCAATGAACGAACTGAACTGCCGATTTCCAGACAACACAGATGGAACCAGAGGTTCTTTGCACCAAAGAACCTTTCTAAACAGGTCCACTGCCCCCATATTCTTTCTTTCCCTCTACCTCTAGTGGGTGGTGGGCTACAAGGGAGGTTAAAGAATTTAAGAACCATTATTAAAAATAAGGTTTGAAGCCAGGCAGTGGTGGCGCACACCTTTAATCCCAGCACTTGGGAGGCAGAGGCAGGTGGATTTCTGAGTTTGAGGCCAGCCTGGTCTACAGAGTGAGTTCCAGGATAGCCAGGGCTACACAGAGAAACCCTGACTCAAAAAACAAAAACCAAACAAAAATAAGGTTTGAAAAAAATTAAGGTTGCAACTGATCTTCTGTATCAGCTGGAGTCCTGAGAAGTAGGTTCCAACAGATGTGCCTTCAAGTAAGTGCAAGCAGGCGGAAAAGAGCGAGCCTTCCTTCTTCTAACTTCCTTATGTCGTCCTCCAGAAGGTTGTAGCACCATGCCTGGATCTGGAACTTGCTTTGTCCCAGGCTGACCTTGAACTCAGAGATCTGCTAGCCTCAGCCTCCTGGGATTAAAGGCGTGTGCTACCTTGCCTGGGCCTAAGCTTTTTCATGGCCACTGTGCCTCAAGATCTACTTGTCTAGATCTAGGTCAGAAGTCTGTGTCTTCCAGCCTCACGATCCGGATTACAGGTGTGCCCTCCATTTCTGCTTTGTAGTTCATCCCAGATGCAGTCAAGTTGACAATCAGGAACGGCCACCACAGTACTCTAGGCCAACTAAGAAGTCCCAAGAGATAGATAAGGCTCTCAAGTCCAGAGAGGGGACAGACGCCCAGGGCATGCAGGCATGTTTGTAACCTGGCCTACAAAACGTGTTTACACCAGTCTGCCAGCCAAGACCCCAGCACGCCTACACCAGCTCAAGGCAGCGTTACCTTGTAAACTTAACCAGCTCCTAGGAGATCCATGGCAAACAACTGTCTGTCATGGTCAAGAGTAAGAGGATTAAAGAGTGCTGTGCTAGCTCCGGCTTCAAGCCCCACCTTCCCGGCTCAGCTTTCAACAAGCCTTCTCTTGGTTCTTCAACTGTTGTCTTCTGGATGTCTATTATGATGGAAAGTGTGCCAAAGCAAATGGCCTTTGGGAGCTCCTCCTCCACCCTAGGGAGGAGATGTGGAGAAAGGGCTTCCTGAAGCTCGTCGGGTGGTTCCTTACCCAATTCTGCTTTTGCACA